TACATTAAAAGTTTATTTTTTTCCGAATGATCAGGTTCACACTTTTCTTATTATACTCTTGAAAAGTTGCCTATTTTAGAACCAGGTTTCTTCAACAGAAATGTGTAAATAATGTCCTTGAAGAACAAAAGGGCAAATGAAACCAATGCAAAAGCAAATATAAAGAGGTAAGAGAAAAATATTTAAAGCTGATCTGATTTAAGCAGACATCAGAAACAAGCAGTATTTAACTAAGAGGTAATAAATGATAGCCAAGTTGCTATTTTCATTTTCTTGTCTTTTAAGCAAGGATAAATATTTGTTGGTCAGCTTCAATTATGCATATGGAACCATATATTTGATCCAGATATCCAAAAGCAGATTGTAGTTGTCAGGGAGTCCACAGGGAAACTTCTTGTACTGTCCAGGGGAGTTGGGTCATAAACAATTTCTTGGAGTAAACAATCTTCACATATGTTGCTTTTTCATTACATCAATGACTTTTTATTACAGTATGGCTCAGTTGGCTGGAAAGGTGGAAGGACTCAGCCAATGCTGAGCAAGAAAGAGTTGGGTAGTCTAACCTTCAGGGAGTGCCTATCAGTACACGTAGATGTTAGAACAGTCCTTGGTTTACACTGGGGTTGGAGATGTTCAGCTCATAGTTGCTGATTATGCTTCTCATCAGCTCCACCTCTGCATAAAGCTGAGAACTACATGTTTTATATATTTAAAGTAATTTAATTTATGGGGACAACCTTGAGGTGGCTTTATAGCTCTCTAGCCAGGAGGCTTAAATGCCTATATACCCTCATAACGCCACATGTTTGTAGTGCTACAAAATGCTGAGATGTTATAGGGTATAGACGGACATATGTTTGAAGTGGGATCAGCTGTGCTGTGTCCCAGCACAGCTGATCTGCTTCATTACTGCCTAGAGATGTTACTAGAGTTGTTGTCCTTCAGGGTCGGGTCCCCACTGTTCTCAGGTGTCAAGGACCAGGGTGTAAGATTTGGCCTAATGCTTAGACTGCCAAGGAAAGGCAGGGTCTGGGGCTGGGTCAAAGGGCAGTAGCCATATACCAAAGCCAGAGGGAGATCCTGAAGCACAGTCCATCACACAATCCAGGGTTGGGAACTGGGGGCTAGATGCCAAGTAGCAATCCACAGAGTAAAGTTGAAAAACAGAGACAAGCCAGGAAACTAAACCACAGGGAAATTAAAAGCTGAAGTCCAAAAATAAGCCAAAAACAGGGTCAGTCACCAGGAGGCTACAACAGAACTGGCCTGCAAACACAGGGCCCTACCTGGTGTTAAATGGATAGACAGTACTTCCAGCAGCAAAGCAGGATACTCACTGCTCCTGAACTGGGGAAGAGTTCACTAGCTGAGGCTTGCTGTAGGTGTGGCCCAGGCTGCTCTGTCTGATCAGAGTCCTTGACACTAGACATCCCATCCTATCTTGCACTGGGGTGCACATCAGCAAAGATGAGGTTCTTCTGCTTACAGAGATGCACCCCCCAGTTGGGGCACAGCAGCATGTGCTGCAGGAAATCCCAGCAGTGGGATTCCCAGGACATGCAGAATTGAGTTCCTGAAACCCTGGGAGTGCCTGCCCAATGTGGCTAGAGTGTACAGGCAGTCCAGAGATGCCTATGCTTTCCTGCCATAAGTGAACAGAAGTTGGCCTAGAAAAGGCAGCACAAACTATTATGAGTAGGAATTGTCACAAATTTGGGTAACTGTGGTGCAATGAAAGGCTAAGGCATATGTTTCCTCAGACTGTGCCACCATAAAAATTTTTATGGTGGCACGAAGGCAACATCTGTTTGCAGCCTTTGCAGCTTTACAAACAAGCACTTGTCCATACCCTGCTTCAGCTACCACTCTTCAGCTAGGGAAGAAGAGAGCATTTCTCTTTACATAGTAAAGACCATCTTATGTCTTGAAGTTCTCACCAATAATAAGGTAAGAACAGGCCAAATCTGGTAACCAAATGTTGCTTGACTGTTCCTTTGGTTACTGCTGGTTGCTCAGCATTGCTTTTGCCTTGACATATTAAGAATTACTTTAAGATTTCTCTGATGTATTAACTGCTTGCTTAAAGAGTCACTCTGTCCTTGACAATGCTTTGGTATGTTAAGAAATGGCCTTATTATATGCCTACAATGCCTGAAAGATGCTACATGCCCCTGGCTATTTTTATGTCTTGGAGATACTTTGTTTCGTTAATTGTCTTAAAAGGATTTGCAGTCTGAGGTTTACTGTTATATATTTGCCTCAGAAGTATTTTTGCTTAGAGTTTTTTACTCTTTACTACAGGCCCTGTGTAGATAGTCCATAAAAGCCTGAGCATACTGTTACTTTAAGTTGATTTACTCAATTTTTTTTAAAGATTTGTTTTCTTCCTAAATGTCTGCCATCTCTCTCTCCTGAACATTTCAGTGATTACTAAACACATTGCTGAGGTTCTGTTTTATCTTTCCAAGCAGAAAGTAAAGACTACATTGAAAAATTTGGACGAGATAAAGTAAATGTCCTACCTTAAAATGTAAAAGGTAATAAAAAATAAACAGTAATTAGTACCCAGTTCTGCTGCCCTTCTTGATAGCTGAGAAGTATCTGAAATCAGTGGGACTATCTGCAAACTACGGTACTATTCAACATGAATCAGAGTGGCAGTATTTGAGCCTTCATGAGGAAAAGCAATTCAGCATGAGGATACTAGAACAAGGCTATCTGCCTCTGTGATAAACTCTCTCAAAAATCTGCTGGCACCTAGTCAATAGAATACATCTCTAAAATAATTTCATCACATTGACTTCTGTGAGTCATCATATGGGCACAATGATTTGTCCATTCAGGTGATACTGTAGGATCAGGGTCTAAGTAATTACTCCCAAGGAGTTGCTTCTATTATCAGTGCCTTTTTTCTGCCTGCAGCTATAATAGGTGGGATGCATGATTTATAAACCTTTCACTCACAAAGTCCATCCACTCAAGAATAGACTGCTGCATTGTAAAGCAACAAAGCTAATTTGATACGTCTAACTTAAAACAAAACAAAAAAAAAAACACAAAACAAAAAGCAATTCCAATTCCAGGCAGTTAGCTTGGAAAATGTATGTCCTTGACAGAAGGTATCTAAAATAATACAGCATCACTATGCTCAGCAATAGGGCATCTAAGTTCTCTTGGATTTAGCCCTGAGTCATGAATGTGGCATTGCTGATTACAGATAAATTTAAGGTGATTTTGGTAGCGGTAATAAGCACATGGCTTTCCCAGCATGCTAGAGAATGGTTCTGCATCAAGTTGCTCTGAGCCCTCTGCAGATTACAGTGGGTAGTTGTTAGCTGTTCGAGGCCATTTTTAGCAAATGTTGTTTTAATGGTACTGAGTGTTTTCATTTTACAAACTGTATCTAAACAAATAAGTAAAATAAAAAAAAAACAAAACTTCGGCTCACTTATAGCCACCAGCTTTTCCAAGTGTGATTTCTTTTCTTTAATTAACAGAACAACGTGACATCAGTTACTATCCTAACATTTTTGGAGATGACAAAACAACAGTTTAAAAAACAGGGGTTTTTTTGGTCCTGTCCCATCTTAGCCTCTAGCTCAATGGTTCTGGTTCCAGATGAAACATTTCTGATGGTTGTGGCCATCTGATAATGTCCTGTGCATACCTTAACAACAGAGGGTAGATTATTATTGTGTATGAAGTATTTGTAAAAACATGGCACAGAACTCTCTGGCGTTTCCAGACCTACCTACCATCTGTGTGTTTGGACATCTTTCTTCTGGAGTTTGCAAAACACTAAGTGCCTTTTGCCAGCTGCTGGGCCCACTTATGCCCCACTAACAGTGACAGGAGCTCAGGACATATAGTACCTTGAAGGATGAGGTTTACCTTAAGGAGATCTTTGTACAGAACTGTGCATCCAGAGTTTGACTGGATATATTACTGTTGCAACAGGTAACTGCTTGTGTATGTTAAATGACAACTGGGCTGGAAAACAAGCACAAACAATGAGTGGCTAGTTGGGATGCGAGTCAAATATCTGTCCACTTAAACACTGTGGTCTGCTAAAAACTATCAGGTTGGCAAAGAACCTTTCTAAAATCTTTTCTCCCTACCCTCTTATGCTCTGTTGTCTCAGGCTGCCTTTGGTTTTGATACATTTAAATTGCAAACATTAAGGGTTCCCTCTTTCAATAAGTAGGCAAACTTTGACTCCAGCAGAACTAACTCTACTATAAGGACTGCTTCAGTGAGTGAAGAGACTCAGCCCTAAGGAACTTCACTGAACAAAGAATAAATCAAGTTACTACAGACTTGCTTTCCAGAGGCACAGAGCAGCCACACCCTCAGCTCCCCCCTGGTCCTGTGAATACTAAGCACATTTCAAAATTAGGCCATGTGTACAAGCCTTGCTGTCTAATGAATGATTCCACTCTCCTGCACATTTCCCCCCCTACAAAGTGAGAACAATTTGTTCAGACAAGCTTCATGCAGAGTTTCTGGTAGTTTGTAAAAGCAAAAGGCTTAAATTGCTTTTAAGGAAAAATTGGACTTGACCATCTAGAGATAGTTACAGCTCATTACCAAACTTCAAAATATCATGCCTAAGGCAGGTTTCGTTTTCATACTACCAAAAGAGCAAAGTCTTATTCTGCCAGCTGGTTTGTGGTAGGGGCACAAAGGTCTCTGTTGGTATAAACTGAAGGCAAAGATCTTTGTTGGTATAAACTGTCACAGTTCCACTAGCAAAACAGAGAATGTACCCACATATTTTGATTGTATTACCTAGATTTTAACAATCACATAAGCATTCCTATGGTCTACCCCAGACTGACCTCCACGTTATAAATACTCTATGCAGCAAATGAATAGGACTATCAAGTTCACTCTGCCCTTGATCTTCCCTGAGGTGATAATAAAGCAAAACACTTTACTCCAACCATGGTCTGCTGTTGGTAAAGTATGAGGTGAGAGCTGCCATAGATAACTGTACTCACCCGATCTTCCTCTGCTCTGAGATCTGGCATGGTGCTGATACACAGGCTGACAGCAGTGATGGCAACAAAGGAGACTGAGATACAAGCAAAGATCTTTCCTGGGATCCCTGAGTGAGGGTTTTCCACCATGTCCCTGAGCTTTCTCATGCACATACCCAAACGGCTACTGTCCTGGAAGGCTTGCTGCGGAGTTTCATCCGATACCGTCTCCCCCTCGTACAATGAAGACTCAGCTATCTCCTCCTCCTTTTGTCGCAGTCTCTTCTTGCAGCACCACTCTAAGTGTTCCTCTTCTATCCCCCAGTATATCAGCTCCTCTTGGAAAGAGAGGGCGCACATCTCCCTGAGAAGCCTCAGCTTCCCAGCTGTCAGGAAAGTCATGATTGTCCGAAAGGCACAAGGATTGCGGTCAAAAAAAAACTCGTTGCAGCTGACATCATAATCGTCACAGATATCCATTATCTCATCGTAGTTGTTACAAGATTTTAGTTTCCCAAGCCTGGTCAAGGGGCAGTCATCCAAGGTGGTCCATGGAATCTTATACTTGATGCCGCCTACATTTATTATCACAAACCGGGTTCGGTCCTCTCGCCGTGCCAAGCAGCACAAGTCTTCTCTAGGGTGGAGAAGCTTGGCTTTTTTGTAGAAAAAGCCTTTCTTGGTCTGCACCTCATACAGGTTTTCCAAATTGTTGTAGGAGTATGATGTGAGCTCGGGATCTGTGTTCCCAGTGAGTAATGCCATTTCTTGATACATTTGGTAAGTTCATGGAGGAACCCAGACTACTCAGAGAAACAAAGTTAGATGTTTGAACAGAGAGAGAAATGACCAGTCTGCAAAAGAAAATAAAAAAAAATTAAAAAATGACACTAGCATTCTGATGGCGAAAGCAAAAGCAAAACAAAACAAACTCCCCCACTTCCTCTCTGGTTTTTTAAATTTGTTTGCATTTTATTAGGCATCTTTAAGGATTATTTTTGCTCCCCTCCTAATACTGGGACCAAAAATATTGGGTTCTGCTCTTCCTCTGCCACCAAGTAGCAAGCTGTGTTCAGGCCTTGTCAACCTATTAACGCAGTTTCAAGTGACAACCAAAGAGGATGCGAGCAGTATGTTAGCACTATACCTTGTTCCTTTCCCAAGGCTGAGTAGGAAGAGGATGGAGGAAGTTTGTGCAGCAGCATGTTGGACTCCCCAGACAATAGTGACTTACACTTTCAATGGTCATTGGATAAAACTTTGCTGAATGCTTTACTTTGTTTAGGCAAGACTAGTAGCAACCTCTACTATAGGGTCCTCTGTAGTGCAACCACAAGTTCTCATCAGGTATGTCTATGGTGTAGTCAGAGGTGACTGCAGCACACAAAGGCATACTTGAGCTAGTTTTCATCTAGCAAGATAACTCAGGTGTCAAGATAAAAAGTACCATGCCAGCACAGACTTCAAAACAGCATAATGAGCACAGTAGGGATTAGAGCCTGTGCTAAGGCCCTGGCAAACATTATGTCAACCATGTCACGAACTGTAACATGCTACACCTTCAGCCAATTTATAGCACCATAAAATCGCAAACCAGCTACAAAGATGTTTTACATCATGGCACTTTAACCTGAACATGTGGCATGCGTCTCCAGACCTAGAACTGTCTCAGTGGATGCTTAAAATCAGCTGATTGTCTGCATCAGCCTGGGATAGCCCTGGGTCTTGAACCAGGTCCCATGGCAGTTTCAGGTCAAGTGGACAATCAGCCCCAGTGGCTGGTTTGTATGGTGCCTTAAATTGAACATGTGGCATCTATTTCCAGACCTGGGGTGGTTTCAGCAGACGGCATCGATCAGTGGATTGTCAGCATCAGACCAGGTCAGCCCCAGGGTTTGGGAAATAGCCTTCCCCTGTCTGATCCCTGGGGTTGGGTTGGAGAGTCCCAACCCCTGCAATGGCGTGATTGAGATCTGAGGAATTTTTTGTCCCATCCCAGAAATGGGGCATCTTTCCATGCATATGTGGCATAGCAGGACACGTGTTTTTTGGATGGGGCATAAAATGTTCCAGGAACATAAAATTCCTAATCACATTATTATATTTATTTCTGCCAGGGTCGTAAAGTCTGTGCCACTGTGGCTTTACTGCTATTGATACTTGATCTAGAGCAGGGGTGGGTAATTATTTCAGGCAGAGGGCCACTTACCAAGTTTTGGCAAGCTGTCGAGGGCCGCATTTCCCTCTCCGGTGCAGGGAAGCAGGAACAGCTCTATGATCCCAGGCCAGAAGCCTCTGCTAGGCAGGGGCTTCAGGTCGAGGGAGCAGGGCTGGGTGGGCCTTGCTGGGTTCTACTGCCCTTGACTCCTGTCATCTTTGACAGGCAGGCAGAAGCAAATAAAAATTAAATTTTCTAAATTTTTAGGGGCCCTGTGGGCTGGATAGAATGGCCTGATAGGTCGGATTCGGCCCCTGGGCCATATTTTGCCCCGCCCTGATCTAGAGAGAGTAAAGTTAGCTTGGGTTTGCTTACATATGACACAGTCACATCTCCAATTGCAGCATGGATGTACCCACAATCAGAGGCTGCATATTAATACAGTGAAAATGGGTTAATGGATTTTTTTTTGTTTGCCTATTTGTATCATGTAGTCCACACTATATGAAAAAGTCTTTTGTGAGGTCATATGCTGATTATCATCACTTAACATAACCAAATCAACAATGCTATAGAACTTTAAGAAGCTGTTTCTGGCCATGTCTGGAGGACTGGAATGTTAGGATCTGCCAAAGCTCCAACAGAAGATCCATTGGCTAGCAGGGGCATCTCAGCAGGAGTTGTATCTGAACTTAAGAGTCAACTGGGTCTAGCAGTAACTTGTAAACAAGAGATGTTGTCACTGCAGTAACTGGGGAACAATATTATGCAATGGTTGCAGCACACAGGGCCAGTATTTTACCATAGTTCAGGCAAGTATGGTAGGCAACCTATGGAACTGGGACGTACATCTGGCTTCTTGACCTGAAATGGAAGTCTCTGGTTACATATCCTTTATCTGTAGAGGCTCCGAGTTAAAAAGGTAAATCTGGTATTATTATTGTGAACACTGTAGGAGTTCCAGGCTTGCATTTATTTATTCACCACCTGTTGCTTGCCTCTCTACTCCCAGTACCACCATTTACAAAGCACTCAGTCTCTTTGCTTTCCATCCACTGTTCTCCTGAAGCAGTATTAATGCGTCTCAAAATGGTACTGAGGAATTACAGCAGGGAAGCATTCAAATCCTCCTGGGCTAATAAAGGTTGTTGAAACAAAGTAAAGACAATAAATAGATTTGGAAATTCTGGGGCCCCAACAGGAAATCAGGGCTGTAAACAGACGGCAAATAAAGTGCAATCTTAGTTAAAGGAAATGGAGAGCCTAAAACTAGATAAAATAAAGAGCAAATAAAGGTTATAGAACAAGGGTTAACTTAACAGCACCGATGGCAGGTTGGTGAAGCTGATGTAAAAATTTAAAAACTTGTGAACAGACATTTTGCAAATCACTTCACAGCTTATGTGGATTCTTATTCATATGGTCTAGAAGGCAAATGAATATGTAAATGCTAAGAGAAATTAGAAACCACACATCCAATGACAAAAACAATCACAGACCATGCAGTAGCTCTTCTTTTCTTAAGCTACACTCAACTCTTAGGTGGATTAATCTGTAAGAATCTCCAGCAGCAAATGAAGGATTTTTTTTGGTTAACTACATGAGTCACACTGCTACTTTTCTTTCTAATTATTGCCAACTGAATCATAACTGCAACACTAGTATGGGTCACAGTCCATGCACAATATTTTAGGGGCTAATGGAATGAATAATGAGTGCCATGAAATATTAACCCTCATTAGGAACTGAGGTGTTGTCCACCTCCTGAATCACAGTTTAGGAAAAAGAAAGGAGTGCAGGTCCATACAGTTTCATCTCTTCATAGGTCTATCATAACCATATGGAAAAACAGACTATCAAATTAACTTGTAGGAAGTCCCACAGTATCTTTTTGGCTGGTGCTCTGTCTTCAGTGAAGCTTTATTTGTGGAAAATTCTGAATGACATTTCAGTATCTGAAATGGATATGAGATGTGCTTGTCTGCACGACAGCTTCATCTTGGTCAGAGCAGGGAGGGAAAGGATACAGTGGGAAACATCACAGGCCCAGAAGGAATTCAGAACTTGCAGAGCAAAGAAGGTCTTGCGTTCCTGAGGACAGCAGGGCTGCTAGACATGATGCCTTTGGAGAGGCTTGAATTTTTGGGTGGAGCTTCAGACTGAACAGACTTCTGCAATCTGATTTGCACAGTTTGTGTGCTGAGCAGGAAAAGGCTGTTTGTAGACTAGCAAAGGTGTGTCCAGTCACAAAGCTATTCTTTGATACTGTGAAAATTTCCAGACTAATACAGTCAAATTGTCACCTCTTCTATTAGGACAAGAAAATACTTCATAGTTCTTTTACATGACAGCACCAACCTTAGAGCATAACACACTTCATTAGAAAAGTACTAGCTGAGAGCCAAAGAACAGGCATCCCATTGCAACATGTTCTGTGAGATGGGTGTTGTATAGCACAGACTTGAGTGCAGCTGGGATCACAAAGGCCATTCCTGCCATAGCGAGGGTGCATGATCAGCACAGCATATGCTTGTAGTACTTATTACTTATTGTCAATAAGGTAAACTATTCACTGTCACTCTTCCACTGTCAGGCTTTTATTTTCATGCTTCACTAGTCTTACAAGTTAACATATGAAAAGTAATTTACATCATTTTGACATTAGGGCCAGGATTTGCCTTCCCCTGTTCTCCATCAGCATGATGTTACAGAGAAGAGACCAGACATACTTCCAGTGTTTCTTTACATTTAAGTGTGCGTGCCCCTTTCTGGGTGAAGGGAAATTAAGTCATGACAAGACATGCATGTCAGTTTTTACATTTCATCATTAGGGCTCTCAGACAGTTTCCAGCTTTCTGAATAAAGAGGATGAGATGTTTTTATTTTGTGACTATAAAATGATGTTGATTAAATGGCAAACAAATTGAAACAGTTTTTGTTAAATTGTTGCCAGGTGACTGGATAGGAATTGATAATGGTAAGGGCACATGCAGCATATGTTCTTTTGGTCAGCAAGTGCAATATGGGGAACACTAGGCGCATCTGAAAGTTAGAGTCTATCAGCTGGTAGGAGTTTGCTGGTCTCCGGCTTATTGCTTGCAGTAAGAAAGGCATAACAGAAGCCACTATTACCAAAAATTGGCACCTTTTTGGATGCCTCAGCCCAGAGGACATTTTTTAAATTAAACACATGGAATTGCATTACCCTTCTCAATATCCCTAAGGCAGCATGAGTACCATGGCAAGGAAGTTCGGCACCCAGGGCAAAGCCCACAGCAGCTGTCTGCCCTCGTCCTGTGCACAGATCTGGGGGGCATATGCCCACCCCATGCTTACCCAGGGGTGCACGCAGTGGTGGAAGCCACCCTCCCCCCATCCCTGCACCCCCCAGACGAGCCACTAGCAGCTCTGTCCCGCACCCTGCTGGCTAGTGCCTGTTGGCACCCCTTTGCTTCGGCACCCAGGGCAGTCACCCCACCCCCACTTGCTATGGATCTGGGCAGCATTACCCAAAGTATGGGGGGGGGGGGGGGGGGAGCCCCTGAGAGAGTGCACAAGTTTCCTAGGGGAGGGTGGATGCATGTACACAGATCACAGCCCCCGATTCCTGCCACCAGCAGCAGCTGGAGTGTGGGCAGGATCGGGGGAACATGAGAGTGACTGACCGTGCTGTGACACAGTGTAAACCCACAAAAA